ATGGCGCAGGTGGAGCAAACGGCAACCGGCTATCACCACCCACCAGCCCCGTTACCGTACACTTTCGAGAAGAAAAAGTTGCACGTACTGCAGTAGCGGACAATCCCATCTCGCACATGGCGAAGATCGTACTCGCGGGTAAAGGTGCAGTTTGTCTTCAATGATCCTTAGGGACTGAACACTGGGGGATCGTTTCCAGTTCCAGGCACACCTCTCGTTCGCGCTTTTTTCATGTGTATTAAGTGCAATTTCTGTTTATTTTTTTGTGTTTTTTTGCTTGATAATGGTGTAAATGCAAACTAGTCCAGTGGAAATTTTTAATATTGGAGCTTTATGGCTTGAAAAAAAATTGAGCTATGTTTCCCCCTCTTGTTATTCAGTGTGTTGAAATACTTCTGCTTTGCACTGCACGATAGCAATAATACACGTACTGCCAAAGTGCTGCTATTGATAGCTTTCCATTGGAGACAAATTGGAAAGGCATCGTTACATTTACAGCGATGCGAACAGCGAAACTGCTACCGCTACAAGCACGTGTAGTTGTCATTATCCCTGCAAAAGGCGAGGGCAGAAGGCGTGTGAGGGGACGTAGATTGGGAAGCAGTCAAGGCGGCCTTTCCCACCAATAGATGCCAAGGCGGCCTTTCCCACCAATAGATGCCATCCTAAGGTGATGACAAATGGTGAGGAAGGCTGTCCTGACTGCGCTTCAATCCACGCCCCTTCACATACCCTCTCATTTTCGGGGATAAGCTCGGCAAACCAGTGACACGGACGAGTTATCACGGCACGCCCTGAGATTGGGAAGAGTTCTTTACTGACATGAATCACTCTTTCCTCCCTCCCCCCCCAACCAAATTTTTTCCTTCGGTGCGACCCTCATCGAACTCCACCGTTTACCTTACCAAACCTTCCCAAAAGTTTGCTTCTAAGCAGGAGGGGCCATAGTGAGCGTGAAACGGTAAAAACGATCAGAAGAATTCCTTCCCACAACGATTGCTACCTCCTCTCCTCCAGCGACAAAATACGATCCTCCTGCGATGTGCCCTGCACTATAACACGTAGTTGACGTAAAAGACACAGGTACAGAGTCGACGCGTCGCAACGACATGGCGTTGAGTGAATTGGGTCCTGCTACGAATGTTGATCACATAACCCGGTCATGCCTCTTCCGCATGAGCTGAACTACTATTTTTGCTCGTCATAAGCGTCGCCCCGACGTAAAATTGCGTAAGAAGGGAGCTAATAGCTGAGCTAGTAGCTTATCGCGTAGGGCGCCCTCCACCCCAAGCGCGAGGTTCCCGCACCTTTCACAATCGCGACTGGCTGCGCTAAGATGGAAATGGTGACATCAGCTAGCGAGCACTTATCTGAGCACGTTTTTTTTTCGCTATTTGACAGTCGTGTATTGGGAAAGAGGTATTGTTTGGGGGTGTTCGACTTTTTTAGCTTTTCGCTTCAAGGATGCACCAATAAGCATCTTCTTTGCATTGCACAGTTAATTAACAGCACCCTCATTTTTCCGGCGCCTGGTACCTTTATATTGGAGCTGTGATAAATAGACTTCAAAAACGACAGCGGTGGAAACGTTGACCAAAAGAACATCCAGTCAAAGGACTAGTAGAAAAAGCCTAACAGTGTAATAGCGTCTTTGAATAAGTGCGCAAAACTTGTTGGTGCTCGTGCAGAATACCACGAAAGGTGTTAATCCGCCATGCTGGACCATGAGGTGCAATAGTGCGTCGGAATACAGTAGTCGGAATATTGCACAAGAGCCTTTCAAAGTTTTATATTCCGTTCCTACCACATTTCTCGTTTGTTTCTTTTTCTCTGTGCTAAACAGCCTTCAGCACTTCGGGCATGGGGGGAGGGGAACATCAGAGTCCTCACATGTCGCGCCGTCGCGGTGCACGGTCAAATTTAAGTGTGCGTCAGTTTTAGATTGGCGCAGTCAAACTCTCGTGAGTCACATATCCAGGGGAATGAGGATTTTCGCTTAATCAAAAAAAAACTACATCTGTTGAAAAACGCTTCTAAAAAGTAAGTAAGCTAGGTGCTCGGGGCCTAGTAGTAAGCAGCGCAAGTCCTGCCGTCGGTGAGAATTTCCGCAAAGTATACCTCGAGGTTTTCTGCTCTGGTACGACCTTTCCGCTCCCTCCCCCCCCCCCCTCCTTCCCTACGGCAGGGGGATATAGAGCACCACTTGAAGCATGAAATCCCGAGAAAAGTTATCAGCCGAAACCTTTTTGCTCAGAGGCAAGTATTATCCCCTCTCTCCGACGACCTTCCCTCGCTAGGGATCCCCAGTGTACAACGTGTTCTGGTAGTGGGGGCAGGTTGGCAGGAAGAGGCTTGGGGGAAGAAGCTGCGGAGTGGGGAAACCACTCCACCGCTTCCCCCGCCCTCCTTCCCCGCTAGGCAAAACGCCTTTCTAGATCATTCATACTGAAAGAAAAAAAATGATTGCACTTATATTAAATAAATGCACCAAACTGCCCCAGCACATTCGATTAGCTCCTAATGTGAAAATGAAATTGGATGCAAAGTGACCTACAAAATTTCAAAAGTACTGGAGAATATATTGAGATTTACTGGTAAAAAAGAGTTTGCTATGATGATGAGCATATATGGACCATTGAATGAGTGGTCACACCCCTTTCATCGAGTGACTTTACACAGTGCGTTGCCAAGCAACACTGAACCCCAATCGCAATAGAACAACAACACATCACAGCTGTAAACAACTGAAATCCTACTTTGATGTAAATTACGTGTAAAACAAGAAGTGCAGCGATGAAAAACCGATTTGAAAATTCAAAAGTGCAAGAAGACAACGCGCAAGGCGTCCGAAAGAATTACGTCGTCCCGTCGCGCTAATGCTATTTAACGCGTTGCTATACGAGTGCGAACTGATTGCACCGTTTAAAATTGTTTTTGGTTCTAGGAAAAAATTATGGTACTAAGAACAATAGAATTGTAAGAGCGATGCATGTAGAAACGATTTGGCGCGGTTATCTTCACCTGGTACGTCTTTTTTCTGCTTGAAGAACGGATCGCGTCAGTTCAAGGACGACTTTTGCACAGAATGTTTGCGCTCGACTGGTCATTAATCTCAACAAACAAAGTTCCAAGTAAACTCAAAGTAAACAAAGTCTCAAAGTTAAGACCAAAACTGAAGTGATCAATGGAAAAGAGGTGATGTAGGAGGAACTCAAAAGTCAGGGCGGAACAAAGCGCGCCTATTATTAGAAGAGTTGGGGCTGGCAGCATATCGGATTGCTGATGCATGAAGCAATTCCCTAGCGGGACTCCCATGAGGTCGAGTCGGCCCGAAATCGATCGATCGATAGCGTGCGTTCATAAAACTCCCGAATATCCCGTCCCGCTCATTGTAATAATGTTCCACATTACAACTCACAGAGCTCGAACTCCACATTCTGATTGTTGTGGTCATTCCATCCAAATCTCAATCGCCTCTCACAACTTTAGCACTTCTTTGCTTGATCTACTTTTTCTGATGCCATCCACAGAGCAAGATGTCTTCGGCCACCTTAAAATTCAGTTTGAAGCGATTTCGCCGCAGTTGTCTCAGCCAATTAAAAATAATAAGATATGTCATCTTGAGAAAGTAAATATTGATTGGTTTGGATTAAGCGACTATAGGTTCAACCGTCGAGTTGTTTTACTTGATACTTTCTTTCATAGTCTTTGAGTGGTCTGCGATTTCTTCGAACAGGCAATGAACGTTCCCAAAAAATATGGTGATTTTCGTTCTCCTCTTTGAATCCTGGATTTGAATGCTTTGGACCTATAATTTATAAGCAAGTCTTGGCCACCGCTGTGCATGCTGTTTAGTTACCATAAATATATATCATATTGTGTTTCCTGTACAGTTTTATTTAACTTGGATAATTCGCCTAGTACCACGACGGTTCTCAATGTGCTTTCGAGACTATTCTCATTTGTTTTGCTATTAATAAACTTAAGAACTCCTCAAAAAGGTGTGAAGATTGACGGAGCGAAAAACAGCTGTGTTGCGGTCCTGCGACGACTTCCCTGTTTTCCACGTCAGGTATCAGTCGGCCGCTTTGCTACGTTTACGCCGTATGCGTTGGCATCTCGATTGGTCTCCTGCTTGGGTGGCAATCAAGTCTTACGTTTTGCTTTGTGGATAGTCTCGTCTTAGTTCTTCATTACCTTGAATGTCTACTTTATTACTAAAGTAGACATTCAAGTTGTAATGGTAGCAATATTTGGCCACGTATGGGATCCTATTGTGGTATTTCATTGCTTTGACTTTCTAGTTGAACTGCAAACTTGTCATTGGGACCTAATTTCCATTTAATAGTGAATGCTGGAGTGGCACTAAGGTTTTTCTTACTACAATTCTCACTTATGTAGTTTAAGCTCTTTGGATTTGTTCGGTAGCCAATCCTTCAACTTGTATTCAGATAAACTCGACAAGTGTTGTCCAAGTAACTGTATCTAGTAGCTGTATATTTGCCAAACTTGTTTGTTCAAGTGTGTTCGCTCGTTTTTGTCATAGTCATCCGTTTCTCCTGAAAAAATTTACATTTAGAAAGTCCCACTCCAAGCAAGGGTAACCATGAACATTTTTCGGCTCGCTGCGGATATGTCGCATCTTATTGCGATACTTATCCTGTTAGCCAAGGTATTTTTTTCTCATTCTTTCTGTCTTTGGCCTGAAGTTGTCCCAAGCGCGTCAAGGTACAATTGGGCGACGAGGAAGAAGTATTTTGCACTTTTGCTGCTTCCCAGCGGCCAGTTCATTGCTTTGCAGGGGTTGACAAGTAGTTCCTGCAAGCTTTGACTGGTATCACTTCGTGGCCTCACCAAATTCCACAAATCTCTACTAGATGGCTCGACAAAACAATGGGAAGCAGTGAAAAAGCAAAGTCCCCCCCCCGTCGCCGAATTGTGCCTGTGGTAATTTTGGGAGGTTTTGATTAATCACTGATTTTTAATATTATTATTATTAGATGTGGAAGACACGCTCCTGTTCTGGCATTTCGGCTCGTTCCCAAATCCTTTTCGCTATTGTGTTTACGGCCAGATACCTCGACCTTTTCACGACGTTCATTTCAACATACAACACGGTTATGAAGGTCAGAATGAAATCAGCGTCTTTCACTACCAGTAATATTGCAATTTAATTAAAATTTTTCAGGTATTCTTCATAATTTCCTCGTACGGGACTCTGTACCTGATGCTTATCAAATTCCGTCCCACATACGAAAAAGAGAGTGATAGTTTCCGTGTTGAACTACTTCTCATTCCATGTGTCCTACTATCTCTTCTCATTAATCACGAATTTACTACTATGGAAATTCTATGGACATTCAGGTACGTCTGAAACCGTAAGCTGTGCAACAGTTTGTGAAATTGCAATCAAAAGTTTTGAATGAGCCTTTTCGTAGCAGCATTGGTTGTTCTCTCCCTGAAGATCACTAATCGATCACCATCGGTAGGGCAAGGGAGCCATAGGCGCGCTCACCCCGCCCTCCTAACACCTCCCCTCCACTGGTTGCGGTAGCTAAAACTGTACCTTTTTTGTACGCTTATGACTCTTCTGTTTTTTTAGTATCTATCTCGAAGCCGTAGCGATCATGCCTCAGTTGTTTATGTTACAAGCAACTGGATCCGCCGAAACCATCACTGCTCACTATCTGTTCTTCCTAGGGTTGTACCGTGGTCTTTACATCTTGAACTGGATCTACAGGTAAATGAGACTGTTTAGTGCATGGTCATTTTTTACAGGAGTAATTTCTAGTCATAACAAAGCGGGTTACATTCACTGGTCCCTCAATATCATGCGGTGCGTAGAAGGAATACAAACAGTATAAACAACTTATAGAAACTCCCAATTCTCTCAACTAGTGGGTCCACTTTTCTTCACATTAGGCCGCGTTCATACTTTACGACATTGAGGAGGACAAACGCGAACAGGGGGAATGTACGCAAAGGCAGATCACTTATCGATCTGGAGAACCAGCGAATAGGAGTGTGCGCGATTTGAGAGAGTGCTCGCCAAGGACTAGATAAAGATCGATACAATTCGCGCCTCGGCGAATTAGGAGCATCAGATAATGCACAACTTGGAAAAATTGGAGAATATGCAAATCGCTTTCGAAAAATTCCCATCTGGTCCTTTTGATCTACCGATTCGCACATTCCCATATTGTTCAGTTTTCTGAATCGATACTTACATTTCCCTTTACGTATGCTCCCGATTTGCGATTCTCTTGGGGATTCTCTAGATTCGCAAGTTATAGCGAATTCGAAGTTTTTTTTTACACTTATAATGCAACCCTCCTTATCGAAGCGACACTAAGGAGATTGTTCCTCAGATAGTGCATGCTTTTTTGATAATCGAATATGAACCCATTTTGGAACGAAGGGATAAGGATGACAACCTCACAAACACGTTTTCGGTGAGGCAAAATATGAATTTGGTATAAATTTTTTCATCGGTATATGTGGTTGCTTGAGAAGCTACCTGTTAGGGAGCAATTTTGATTTCCATGAAGAGATTTAGAGGTTTTGATAGGTAAGTACCCTCGCACTTTCTCGGCTCAGCTTCTGTTATTTTCAAGTTACAAGTGGCTGTTAATCAAACAAATTGTAGCGTAATTGGGCTTAGAGGAGGGGGGGGGCTCATTTTGTAAACTTATGTGTGCTCTTCCAAAGCTGCGGAAGGTGACAAGTTTCTCGTTCGACCTACCTATTCACCAATCCAAAGCTCATTTCCTCCTTGATATGGACCAAAATCTTCACCGCTATGGTTTGCAGTTGTTTCTTCGTACTTTAATGCCCTAAATGCCGAAAAAAATGTTGAAGAAATGGCCCAGAAGTGAAGATAGTACCAGTTTATTAGATTCCAAGCGTATACAAGTTCACATGGGCTCCCAAAATAACTAGGCATGTTGACAGTACTCAACGAATTCCCCCCCCCCCCTCCATCCCACCTGAGCTGTGGCACTGTTTTTTTGTATTCGACCTACTTTTTATTGTGAGCGAAAAATCCTTCGTCAGCAAAATGTTTAGTCTGCTGCTCACAGTGTGTATTGCTTCCACTGCACGCTCTTCTCAATTAATTCGTGGCATGTTTTACAGTTTGGTTTCCCCTACGTCACCGCAACTTGTTTTTCAAAAACCTGTTGTACCGTAGTTCACTGATATTATTTTTGTGGCTCATATTGAGTTGCTCCCATGAACGCTGACTTGGTGGTCTTCAGTACGTTGAAAACTTTGGATTTGAGACGCGTGATTATTGCAATCATTGACCACGATTACTTTTACTCTGCAAGACAGCAGCTTATAAGCGGAGTTACGTGTATACGTTGCGTTGCCAGGAGCGTCGTAGCATGATTTCTTGTGCTCTTGCCAGGAATCGGTTGCACATACCCTAATGATTGTGCTTGCCGACGTCCGAAACTCATCCAGGGCTCCGCTGCTAAGGGGCTTCTCTGTTCGGAGTGTTCCAAAGGTCATTTCGCTGTTTCTTCACTGAGGAGTTTCTTATGGGCTACTGGTTCATGATTGTGCACACCCGTAAGACTTGACTGGAATTGTCTTTAAAATAGCCCCGAATGTTTGGGTAGCAACGTTCATTCTAACCAATCCTAGTTGTGCAAGAGAATTGTTATTTGCCACACTGCATCGAGCAAGTATTGAATTTTGCAGTACAATTTGGAAAGCAAAGTGTTATGCAGATTGTGCATAAAATAGCTGCGAACGACATGCACTTTGAAGGTCTTTCCCACCCCATGGGACGGCGTGAAGCTTAGTCACTTCTCCAATTTGCTGTGATTATAGGGAAAAAAGTGAATCGCAGGGGATCTGCGGCTGGACTTGTTGATTCAGATTTAATCACTGTGGGGTTAGCCTCCCTCTTGCAGCCTTCAGTTGAGAAATATTATCTTGTAGAATCAGGCAAAGCCAATTTATTAACATTTAGTAGAATAGCTAAGGGGGGGGGGGCGACAGAGTGTCTTAAGCTGCAGTACTTCAAGCGTTCCGGGTTGTGACACTCATGGTGTGTCAGTCACACATATTTCTCTCTGTGCTGCTTCGCATGATCTACTAGGTGTCTATTTCATGTACTAGAGCTACCAGGAAAACGTTTCTAGACACGGAATACGCGTAGTCTTATACATAAGTAAGAAAAAAAAACCGGTAAAATTACTGATAATCAAATTAATAAGTGCCGGAATGATGCGGAGATTCTGCGGAACGTTGGTTTGCAATGTGTTAAGCTGTTAGGCGGCCTGTTCCGGCCAACGTTCGCTGGAAGATCCGGTATGAAATTGAGCTCCTATACGGTTTATAGGCCGCGCCCATAATTTGTACCAGTCATAGCAGATTGGGAGAATGTGAGAATGCGCAAGGAAATTGTGGGTAACGATTTGGTGAATTGGGGGAGTGGACTAGTATAGGAAAAGGTGTACTAAAGGATTGGACAGGAATCGACCGTCTTCAACACTCCTGTTCTCCTAGTCCTTACTCCTATTCTCCCAGTCCGCCAGATCGATGATACTTTCCTCTGTTGTGCTCCTATTATCTCAGTTTCTCGCTCTTCTGTTCTTTTATCCTCCCATACAATTATTCTCCTATACTTCCCCAATGTGATAAAGAAACATGACCTTGATAAATGCCCGAAGCCATGCACGTCCGAACCGTTAGCTCACCAATAAAATTTTTATTCTGCGTTTTTTCATGCTGCGGAAGTTCCAAGGTTCAGCCAAAGAACGTAACTAGTATTCAGCCTGTTGCATGCCATATTCTTGATTTTTTTTGCATAAGTGGGCAGCGACTTTGAGGAGGAATGAGAAGCATTCGTACAATTTGTGTGTTACACTCCACGCGAGCAAAATGTTTTTGTTTTGGTCCGTAGGGATCATTGTGATTACGAATATGTCGTATGGGATTCATTTTTAGTTGTGTCGCAAACAAACAACAAAAATAAGTGCGATTCGTGGTCATGATTGTCAACTACTGCAGTAGATCAACCTTCAAAAAAAACTTTCTGTCTCGCTGCGTCGCTGGGGTTGTAGTATGATTATTTACCAATAATTTCGAAAAGGCCGAATAATTAGTTACCGAAAATTTCGATTTCGACTTTTATTATCGTTTATTTTCATAGTTGTTACAGTGAGAAAGCTATTCCTTGTGCTCTGAAATTTGCTATATGTATTGCAGTAGGCTAACCTGCATTTGATTCATTCTTGCCCTATTTATGGTTGGACCTAAATTGATTTTTTTTCTCGGTCTTAAATGTCGGCCCATAGTGCTCAAGTACTGGGATCAACTGATGAGCCAAGGGAAGCATGGAAGGTGCAGTATCTAGTTGCTGATGGTACAAGAAACTCATACAAACTTATTAACTGCTTTTACCGCTCACTTATTTTGTTTTCTCTTCTCTGTGAAGTCGAGAAGCACCTACGTCTTAGTTGTTGGACTTACTGACGGTTCGCAATCGGGCACAGTGTTTTTAGAAGAAGTGGGCGTGATTGCTAAAGGCAGGCGGTCGTCGTCAGCGTCATTGGTGCAGGGGCTGAGGGTGGGCTAATGCCGTTTGGACTCCAGCAACTTCGGCACCGAGCTCACTTTTAAATTACCCAAGTCGCCAAACCCGCTGAAAATATGTACACAAGGGTTATTTACCATCCTGATTACAATTATACACTCATTCTTGGTGTGCGCCAAGGATGACACTACGATTACCTCCTGGGCTCAGCCTTAGCGAGGCGCAGGTAATCGTAGTGTCATCCATTAGCGCAGCGGCAAGAGTGAATGTCATATTCGTAATCAGGATGTTAAACTACCCCTACATACAAGTTTTTAGCGGATTTGTAATTAGGCTAATTTAAAAGTGAGCTCGGTGCCGAAGTTGCTGGAGTCCAAACGGCATTAGCCCTGAGGGTGTGTGATTAAGCGCACTCGCCCTTTTGACAGTGGTGGCAACCACCGTCCGCCTTTTGTAATCGTACCCACTCCCTGAAACAGCTGCAGATAGGTTTTTAGTAGTTAATATCGTAGTAATCGGATGCAATTGTGAGCGTAATATTTCATGTTTTGAGCGGCCTAAAACCAATGCGAGAAATAACATGACTTCTACTCACATAACCAAATTAGTAATTTGCTCGTCACTAATAATAATTTCTTTTAGATACTACACCGAATCGTTCTTTGACCCTATTGCGACAGTGGCTGGAGTTGTACAAACCGTTCTTTACGCTGATTTCTTCTATCTGTATGTGACTCGTGTGGTGAGAACGCGTAAAGCCATGGAGCTTCCCATCTAATGGGTTCTATTCTGTTTTGATTTTTTTCTAAAAAGAATTTATTCCATTGTCGTTGCAGTTTCGCCTTGGCGTGGTATATTTATTTCATTTTAAATTATTTCCTTGAATTAATCATTTCCTGTAAATCGGATTCTTCTATGATGTTGAGTTTTTGTATCGTTCATTAAAAAATCACCGGTTAAAAGGTGTCAAGTGCAATTGGAGGTTTTGCATGTGTAATGTCGACGTTGTACACAAACACGTGTGTTTTTATTTTTGTTGATGGTCCCATTTGTCGTGCTGAGGTTTTGCCTATTTATGATCTTGTTTTTTTTATTTTATGTGGGGCTCTCTATGTAGACGGCGAACGTATTGTTTAGCTCTAGCGGTGGTGTTTTTTGTAGTCAATAAAATGATGTTCTGCTTGATGCAAAAACTTCTCGGTATTTTCACGATGTGATACCTCTGTGCACTTGAAGTGGTTTTTGTGAAGCGTTGTTTTAAGCAACGAGTTCGGACGTGAATATACATCTTCGCTATTTGTCGGCTCTGAAAGAAGTACGATAGCGACGTAAAAGCTACAAATAGTCCCTTTGAATATTTTTCTTCTAGATGAAGAGGACACGGTCTTTAGAACCACGCGACGTCGCGTGCGCGGCAACCGGTGAATACTGCGGGCTCGCAATGAGCGCACGTTCGCGATGAAGTCATTACATTATTGAATAGGATTGTGTTCGCTCCGGTTTTCAGGCACCCTCTTCGCTTTGCTAGGGCCTGGGTTGTAATAACCATCAGATTTTGAATTATATTTTAACTGTGATTACATAGCAACTATGGTCTAGAGGGACCTGAACGGATTCTGCTCGTGAGTAAACTTACCTGCTGATCCTTAATCGTTTGACTGTCATGATACGTTGGTATGTAGTATGTTTCTAAACAGCCACTCATTGTCGTTTTGCCGAGGCAGGACGGACCGTCATGTTGGAAAAATAGCAGCGAAATACCACTGTCGCAATCATAAAATCATCGCGCCCGATAGCAACCACACAGTGTTTGCAATTGTCGCGCGCGACGCCGCGTGTTCTAATTGTCACATACCCGGGTCGTTGCAGTTTTGACCGATAGATATACCAGAATTTGGACTTGTACAGCTTCAAATCTATTTGGAATGGTGTAGCGCAAAAGTTTTTTGGTACTAGGTCTCGGCTACATGGAATCATCAGAATTCTGTCATTTTTGCGTATAATATCGCTTTTAGGCGGTTCCCTTTTGAAGTCATGACTGATGCCGATCGGTTCCACTGTTATAACGGTGCGTGGAAAAATCTTGATGATGGATTTTTCAATGTGACAAAACTTCGTGTTGGCGAAGTGAAACCGGGAATGAGCGAGTCGAAAGTGTTTGTTAATGACGTAGTAAATGCATGAGTAGTCAAGATTGATTTGGGGATCTTGTCGGCAAAAGTATGGGGATGTGAATGAACGCTCTGGGCATGAGTTCCATATCGTTGTCCCGAAATCGACGATCTCACCGAGATAACGAGCGCTCGTCTTGCATTTCTCGATTTTCTGCGTCGTGGATAGGCGACAATCCTGGATTTTGTGCTAATTTATGAATGAGGATTCGTTCTGACGCTCATTGTACTGTAGAGGCTTGTTTCGTCTCTTCAACCCGAGTCACGACTTGGCATTCTTCCAAATCCATATGAAACTTCAGTGACGTGCTTCGCCATTTATTGCTTTCATCAATCGATTCGCATTTGTTAGCACAGCAGGTCACTTCCTAATGTCGTCTTGCCATCAGCCATCGTATTAGTTTTCTTCCAGTAATGGATTATATTATGATCTCTATTAATTTAAAACGATCACGAAGAGTGGATCACCTTGAAGACAATTTGAACAAAGTATTTTACAGTAATGTTCCCGTTTTTACCAGACGTTACCCATTGAGCGCGGATCGTGTCACATGTGACGGGGAAACTGCCAGAACTTCCGTAGAAGTTTTTCCACTAACCAATGACCACGGCATTATTACAGCAGTCCTAAAAGTTGTTGTTTGAGCCGACCAAATTTAATAGAATTTCATTGAGCTTTTCGGCAATGATCGCCCTCTTGGAATCCTTTGCGGGAGATAGAGCTTTGGTAGAAACCGTCCTCCGAAATTCAAGAAATTGACGGCAGTGCCCGATGAACTTTTTCCCTGTGTTTCGCCGGAGCTGGAGTTTATACAATCATGATTAATCGGAATCGTCTCAGTGGGCGTGAATTGAACCCACCCTCAGCTGCGTTTCCTTCTAATAGTGATCGATTGCGAATAACAAGTAATGCTAAAAACGACCGCGGATGGTATCATTCCTTGCTTCCTGTCACCGCCCCGATCGATTGCTACGAAATTAAGTGTAATTTTATGATACTCATGGTGTTTGACAATTGGTGATACGTGGTTACACATGGTACGTAGTGATTTTCTGATGCTTGTTACGAGCAAATTTAGTTTAGCAGGATTCCAAATTACTTCTTAGTTGTAGAGGACGTGAAGGACTTTATTTCTTTGAGCGCAGGTTATGGATCCAACTTGTAAGGTGACCACGTGGTGAGGATTTCACTGGTATACTCTAGTTCGCTGCGGACGGTTGGGCGTGTCAACCAGTATGAGTGTGTCACCCTTTCAAAGCCATTCTCTGCCTTCTTGTTGAAACGCGCATATGACAAAAAGTGGTAGAAAACGAGCAATAGGAAGGATATGATACAGTATTGTCACTTGCCCGCTTCGAAAACTGGTCCAGTGCGAATTTGGCACAGGGCCAAACGCAGCCGCACTGACACGCCCAGCCGTCCGCAGCGAACTACACACAGCGCCGTGTACAAAGTAGATGATTTTCTTACGGTGCTGACTTGCCTACTAGCCTAGTTGACGTGTCGCAATGTAGCACGACCACAATGAATCGTATCAGCGCTGGTATGAATGCGGCGTCCAAGGTCTCCTTCGCCACGCTGCTGAGCGTCGCGTAAATGACGACAATAGACAATATATATAACTATAAGTTCTAGGCTGTGGAAGTCTGCATGAAATAGACGCTGCCTTTAACAAGCTAATGCGAATGTAGAAGACGCCGCGCGCGACAGAGCGACAAATTAAGATTCTCTTGACCGCGCTCTGTACCAAAGTGCCCCGTCCCATTCTCACTCGAATAACGTCTTTACGTGCCTCGATTAATTGCGATCGAAAAAGCATCGCTTTATGGAGTTAATGATGAAGCGATTTAGACATTGGTATGGGTGCACAGGAAAGTACAGGGAGGAAGCAGCAACAAGTCATAGATGTGAAGGAAAGTGTTCCACATGAGGCCAAAGTATACAAACTATGGAGTCACATACATCAAGCAGTGAAGAATCAGAGTACACAATGTGAGTTTAGCATACCAAGGCTCAGTAAGTACTGCTATCTTCAAACTTGTTCCTTTAGGTACGATATTCATCCAAAAGTTCGACAGTAACGATGGCTCGTTAAAATATTACGAAAATGGCATGAAGGTGAGTGAATCAGTGTTATCGAATACGAGCGAGTTTGAAACACTTTTCACCGCTCAGGGGTTTACTATTATCAGTATTATTATAGTATTACTATTATCCAGTTCATCTCTAATGGAGGAGTGATTTCAGTTGCTGAAACAGCTGAAACATCCACATATTCTGAAGTATTTGGATGGAGCTTGCACTGCAACTGATGTATCATTAATTACGGAACGTGTGCAGGTATTTTTGTGCGTGGGACGCACTTTTAAACCTTCTTATGATCTGCTATTGATCTAGATGCTTGATCTTTCGATAAACTCCCTATCAATTGAAGAAATACAATCCGGTCTGCACCATATACTGGAGGCTCTTCTTTTCCTTCATACCAAGGTTACAGAGCTTTCTTATTTGCAAGCAGTACCTACAGTCTTGTTCGCTGCGGGTGTGGGGCGTCTCCGCGCAGCCGCGTTTGCCGCGCCGTCAAACCCATTCTCCTTCAGCTGTTGAAGCGTATCAATTAGAACAAGTGTGAAAAATGACTGACGATCGACATGATACACTCTTGTCGCTCGCCAAAAGAAAAGAAAAACGAGCTGGCGTTGCGAGAGACCCATCTCCTTTGACACGCCCCATCATCTGCAGCGAACAAGACCATGTTCTAGTGCAGCTCCCATAGTATACATTATAATTGAAATTCCAGGCCTCTTTATCTCACAATAACCTCAGCCCTGCCTCGATTTTTATTGCCAGTAGTGGAGAATGGAAACTCGGCGGGTGAGTAAAAGTTCATTTTTTAAGTTATAAAAATGTAGTTTTTCTCCGGCACATTTTAGCCTTTCCGAGCTCACTTCTCGAAATTGTGGCTGGATATTAAACGGATTTGTTCTGCCTTTTTCATGATCAGAGCGTGAAATGATGAGAGAAACTTCTAGGATTTCCTTGCCCTCCGATGTAACTTGTCTTATTGCACTTGAATTGAGGTGGCTAGAGCGCGTTCAGACTTCGCGATCGCCTACTGAGGGTGAAAATTACTGCAGGGAAGGGGTTAGTGCGGATAGTTTATGATACCTGGCTCTCTCTCTTTTCCCTTCTTTCATCTATTAGTGTAACATAACGCCCCTCCTTATTTAAAAAGAACGTTTCGAAATATCCTGACGTTAATTTAGTACTTCCTATGTAAATACTGCCACTAAATTATAAATATGCCTAATTATATATACTGTATTATTGCATTATGAGTTACGTCAAGCGGAAGTGATTGAACATCTGTTCACCAAAGTAAGCACACAGAACCTTTCAACAGGCGGGTACGATGTTGCTCTCTCCTCGTCCGATTTTGCCCAAGTCCTCAGATATTCACTCATTGACTCTTCTGTCACCATTGTGTTTGCTTCTTGTTTCGTTCTGCCATCCCCACGGTCTATACACCAACTTTCCTTTGCGCGTTTCGGCAACAAACGTCAGGTATTCGAATATGAACACGGAATAAAAGACATCCAAAAAAGGCTCGACACTTACGTTTTATAATTCTTTTTTGAGATGCCTATTGGGCAGCAGCTACCAGCATCCAGTGAATGCTGAGAACTGGTGATACTTAGTACCGCTCCTCTCCCAGAACTTTGTTGTTGTTGTTTCGTTGAGTCTGAGATTGAACGATGACCGAGCATGACCCCCTCCGCTCTAGTCAATTTACGCTCAGTTAGCGCGCATCGGATCGCGCGATCCCGACTCGCCGATCGCCGAAGTCCTGAACGCTCTTCAAAGCGTCCTGCTTGGATCTATCAGTTCTGGCGAAGACGCCAGAAAGTAAGCCGGAGGAAGCCCCTTGTTGACACCAAAAGTTTACAGCACTAATATCCATAATGCCAAGGCATTTGCAAGAGACTATCATGGACTGATTCAAAACTTGCCCCTAAATTGATTTGATGAGAAATTGATAACCAAAGCCAAAAGTCTCGGTTCACTGATTAAGGGATAGGAGTTGGCAAGGAGCCCGTGTAGTTTTCTTTTTTTTTCTTTCGGCTACCTACAAGACTCGTTCATATCAGTCGTTTTCACCAGTTGATGTCGTTTACCTGCTTCACAACCGGTGGCGAACGAGCTGGTGCACCGCCAAACCCACACTCACTCACACGCCCCTTCATACGCAGCAAATAGGATTGTAGCTCAAATTCCTGGACCCTAGAGGTCCGATAAAAATCTAACCCAAATTTCGGAAAATGTGATTGCAAAGGTGAAAAGTCTTTGTCTCATTAACGCTTGTACAGGTTTGAATTCTCATCTTCTCCTCACACCAGCCAGCAGTTTCTAAAATCGAAATTCAGCGATTCAATCCGACTGGCTGAGAGTCTTCCTCCTAAACAAGTAAGCCGAGTACTGTTTCCGTAAAACTTTCAGTCTATGGCAGCATTACATTTTGCAGGAAAGTAACGGCTTGTTGAATACGTCTTTGTTTTCGGATGACACATTTGCCTTTGGGAAATTGATTGAGTTTGTCCTCGACTCCTGTGATGACCAAGGTAAACGTAAGAGCCTTCTGTTTGGTTTTGTTTTTGTTACCGTTTTATTAAGAAAAAATCTACAAGACAAACTGGTTGAAAGGTAGTTATGTTTTCCACTGTGGTTGAATTGTTCTTGAATACAGAATACGGGTGCTCTACAAGCTGGAGCGCCTATCCAGAAGTACTGTCTTTTTCGCTGCGGATGCTTGGGCGTGTCAAGGAACTGGGTTTTGAGCGGCGCCAACCCATACTCACCAAATGTGGAAGCTGGCAAGCGACAGCATTCGATGAAAAGCAGGCTGGCGTCACACCAAACCCAGCCTACTGACACGCCCCTTCGTCGACAGCGAACGAACTGTAAATGAGACACTTCTTTGGAAAAGTCCTGCTTTTCAGAAGAGAATGTCCGAAGCCTTCGTGAAATTGCTGCTCAGTTAACTTCTGATGATCCTGCTCAGAGAATTCAACTATCTACACTCATTGACCATCCAGCCCTTTCAAATTCTCTTATTCAAATAGCTGAATTTTGCAACACCATCCATCTCAAGTCTGATGAAGAGAAAGATGAGTTCTTCAGGTAGGTCTTTCAGTACATGTTTTTGTTCATGTTATCGCCTTAGACGCTACAGTCCTGTGGGGCCGCAAACATTATGGGCATTCATTTTGAGCTGTTGAATCATGAGAATTAGGCGCAGGCAGAATGAAATCAAATGTAAAGAAGAAAAAGGTAACTCTGGACTGAATTGCAGGAATTGCAACGACTAGCAGTGGAACGCTACAACTGCAATCCAGTCACATTCATCTTTCGACTGTTGCAAAATGCAAAACAAAATTGTGGTGGGGCGCGGTTGGATGCAGTAGTGCGATAGAATCGCTCATGTTGTGAAGTATGATCGCGGGTTCATAACTAACAGATTGTTATTGTCCGACAGTAGCGTCCCCATGAGCACTTGTGACCTTGTATTGCTACAGCGCCGAGCCTTGAATTTGTTTTTTTTTCTAATTCTTGATCTGCTTTTTTCAAAGTCTTTCAATCAGCGTAACAGCTACCGAGTAGTTTATAAAGTGATTGCATTTACAATGTTATAGGAACATTGTGCCTCGCCTACGCTCTATTCCGCCTGATGTTGTTGCTCGAAGACTTTCCCGTCTGCTTTTATCCCGCTACGTCCTTCTTGAACCACGATCTCAATCTCAACTTTATCCTGCTCTTTTGGTTCCGGCAGGTTACTTTTGCTTTCTATTTTTCGTGTAAACTGCATACTTGCACGCTAATGGTAAGTAGTCCCGTTCAGGTGCTGGTGATGGAATCCTCCCTCATGATCTTTTTCAGCGTCATATGATTCCTGAAATATTGCGCTTGTTCAAAGTTAGGTAAGTAAAAATATTTTGTCGAACTTTTAGATTTTTATATGAGCTTTACGGAGGAAACTGGCTTTATCCGTTTTCCTGTACAAGCAATAATCTTTTTTTCAGAGAGTCGGCTGTTCGTACCGTGCTTCTGTCTCATTTTCAAGGCTATTCATGCTCGTTATATCCCTCGTGAACGTCTTGTTGGTTTCGTCCAGATGAGGTACTGATCAATGAGTAATTGGCTTATTTAGCGAAGCGTGGTTGAGTTCTTGTTGTTACAAACACGCGCTCAGAGCAGTTTAAAACGTACCTGGCGGACCCCAGCGTGGGGGCTCATATTTGGTCGCTGAGGGAGGAGTCGCATCAAAAGATTGCGCCGCGCTCGCCCGACAGTTGTCTGCTCTGACTTTTCGCAGTTTTTCCCATCTCATATACGGTATGGACCACTCATTTGCTCGATGGCAGTTGTTTTTGGGATGAGGGTGGGGGGGGGGGACTAACTGGATAATTTCCAGGAAATCCCGCAGAAGTGATAGGAGTTAGGAGAATTTAGTAAGATGGTATAGTCTTGTTCGCTGCGTATGCTGGGGCGTGTTAGGGGGCGGGTTTGGCGCGGCGCAGCATGCTCGGGTCCACTCACTGGAGAGAGCAAAGCGACAACAACCGTGGAAAACGTACTGGCGCCATGCCAAACCGAGCCCCTTGTGACACGCCCCAGCATTCGCAGCGAGCGAGACTGTACGTAGAATGGGGTGGGGGGGGGGATTCGTACTAGAACAATGGGGATTCGTACTAGAACAATAACTTCGAGGGAGGGCAAGGGAGGGGGGGTCCCATTGTGGAGAAATTTTCCCCCAACGGCAGGGCGTGCCTTGGCTCAGAGGCCGCGTTAGCGTTTTGGTATGACCCAAGCTATCTTTCAACTACACCGCGAGCTTTTACGCCGCCTTCGAAAGGTCGCCTAGCCTGGCCTTAATCTCGTCCTTCTGCGATCTAGCCGTTGCGAGAGGGAGGAAGGGCGTTACGGTAGAACATGCGATCGCGTGCGAGCACTGGTGAGAAAATTCATTGGTGCAGCTCAGGAGTGACACAGTAGTAGTCTCATCAGCGGTAGCGCATGACTCCGAACAAAAACTC